GAGTTAGATAAGTAGTAGGAGTAGGAGAGAAGTATAATATAAGGTTTAATAGTAGGATAGTGGGATAACTAAGGAAGGTGGGGGTAGAATAAGATAAGTAGAGTAGAAGAGTATGAGCATGAGTAGGATAAAAGAAGTAGAAAAGTAGAACAAGAGATGAAGGAGTAGAATACAAGTAGGAAGTAAGAGTGGAATAAGAGAAGAGTAAGAGTAGAGTAAGAGTAGAGTAAGAGTAGAATAAGAGTAGAATAAGAGTAGGAGATTCATTGTAAGAGTATGCAGTTAGCAGATGCAAGCCATACAGCTATATAGTAAGCGATATGAGTAATATACAGGTACTTGGGTCAGCAGTATAGGGATATCAGAGGGAGCACCAAAGGGAGTGAATATTTGAGTTCGCAGGATTGAATAAGGTGAAGATGATAGATTAGAGTGGATGGTATTGTGAAAGCAGCTATAGGAGTAGATGAAGGAATATTGGCGGAGATAGACCGGATGAAGCAGCCAGCTGTGAGGTGTATAGTAAATTATATAGGGGGCTAGATAGTGAGGTTATATACAGGCAATTACCTCAGCAGTTCGATGCAGGGAAGAAAGGTGTATCAAAGCGAATAGGTATATAGGCTAACATGGTCAAACAAAGTGAGGAAGATATATTAGAGTGGATAAAGTGTGTGTAATATAAATATGAGTGAAAGAAGCAGTATTGGTGGAGATATAGCAGGTGTAATGTTTACATAGTAAGCTGGATAGTAAGCTGGATAGTAAGCTATATAGGGAGCTGGATAGTAAGCTATATAGGGAGCTGGATAGTAAGCTATATAGGGAGCTGGATAGTAAGCTATATAGGGAGCTGGATAGTAAGCTACATAGTGGATTACATAGTAAGCTTATGTGCAGGCACTTACCTCAGCGGTTCAAGCCAGGGTAGAAGGTGTATCAAAGTGAATGAATATCTGAGTTAATAAGGTCAGATAAAATGGATAGGACTTATTGGAGTAGAGAGAATTGGATGAGGTCGTGATATCGGTGAACGAAGCAATAGTGGTGGAGATACACTAGATGTAATATTCACATAGTAAACTGGATAGTAAGTTAGATAGTGAGCTGTATAATGAGCTGTATAATGAGCTGCTTAGTAAGCTACATAGTAAGTTATATAGGGAGTTGCATAGAGAACTATATAGGGAGTTGCATAGAGAGCTATATAGTGAGGTTATATGCAGGCACTCACCTCAGCAGTTTAACCAAGGGAAGAAGGTCAATCAAACTGGACGAATATTTGAGAGAACAAGAACAGATAAAATGAATATGATGTATCAGAGTAGAGAAAATTATGTGAGACGGTGATATCGGTGAACGAGGCAATATTAGTGGAGATACACTGGGTGTAGTGTTCTCATAGTAAGCTGCATAGTAAGGTAGACAGTGAGTTGTATAGTAAGCTGCATAGTAAATTATATGGCGAGCTAGATAATGAGGTTATATGCAGGCACTTGGGTCAGCAGTTCAGCCATGACAGAGGCTGCACCAAAGAGTGGTAATATTTTGAGGGAACATGATTGAATAAGTTGAAGAAGGTAAATTTGAATAGAGGCTATCGATTAGTATATAAATACGGATAAATGAAGAAATATTGGTGGAGATATAGTGGGCTCAGTAGAGATCTAGTTGGCTACATAGTGAGCTACATAGTGAGCTACATAGTAAGTTGGATTGTATGGTTATATACAGGCACTTACCTCAGCAGTTTTACCCGGAGCAGAGGTTGATCAAACTGAATAAATATTTGAGAGAACATGGTTGAATAAATTGAGAGAGATAGAATTGAATAGGGGGAATCATTTGATGTGATAACATACGCAGACGAAGCAATATTGGTGGAGATAGGCTGGATGTAGTGGTCACATAGTAATCTGCATAGTAAATTAGATAGTAAGTTAGATAGTGAGGTTATATGCAGGCAGTTACCTCAGCAGTTTAAGCCAGGGCAGAAGGTCAATCAAACTGAACGAATATTTGAGGGAATATGGTTGAATAAGATGATATA